CGGAGCTTTGTATTCAATTTTCCTGTTTGCTCTCGTATTTGCTGATTCTATGCAGCGGAAAGAGTCAGTTACTGATGGAAGCGATCTGCGAGTTTATCATGCCCAAGCAGTATAAGGAAGTCAAGATAGACGGCAAAATGGGTGGGGTGGTGCTGTTTGACGTAGATGGAAGGTTCTCTATTGCCCGACAAGTGCATATATTGGAGATCAAGATCAGACAAAGGTTACATGGAGTATGTAGGTGATATTATTATGATAATGGTGTACAGTCAAAGATTGGCTGTGTGTATTATATAATGCTGTAATTGACTGATTGTGTCGAGGGTGGTGTTGTATATATGAATGATAGATTCCCTAATGTCTGATCAGAGTTTGTATGGAGTACATATGTGGTAAGGCTCACGTTTCGCTATAGAATGTTAGTGAGCGGGGAGTATGCATAATATTTTGCTGTATTGGAAGAAAGATACGGGAGGTGGTCCTGAATAAATGTTAAATGTTCTTTTTGGTTTGACAAGCGCACGAGTTCATATCGAGATAGAGGCTATATGGTGTATGTATGTAGTGCTTTCATAACTCTGGTGAAGGAGTCTTAGTATGCGGGTGTGTTTTGTAACTTGCTATAGGTACCGTTGTTTGTGGATTGATTGAAACGAATCTTCGCTTTCTCTATGTATATAATAGCAAGTGCAGGCCATGATGCATAAAATAGCAAGTGCGGTCCATGGCTGAGTAGAACACAAAACACCTTTTTCTAATGCGTGTTGGTCGTGTTAGCTGATGCATATGCTGTGGCTATGGCGTTCCCATCCACGGACAAGCGCATATGCTGGAGGCCATAGACTGCATGGTTATGCGCGACTGAGTGCTCAGTTACACGGTTTAACGTATATTCGGGTGTAGAAAATTTCATGGTACGTTCAATGCAATACAGATTGTTGTTGTTTGTTGAGAATATGCGCATTGGTACCGTTTGATGTAGATGGGAGAATTCTTCTCTCGATCTGTGTGAGTGCTTCTAATAATATCAGCCGTTGCATATAAAAGATATGCATGCACAACCAGTGTATGGGCTCGAAGTATGCGTTGGGTCGTACTTTTGTTTCGTGTAATCAGGTGGTCAAGTAGCTTCCAATGTGTCTTCAACTGTATCAGTTGCCCAAGTGCTATGCTTGGGAGAGGCTGTATGCAACCTCATGAAAGAATAGAATACAAGTGACCTGAGACGATAGATACATCGAGACGTACCACAGGCTGCAGCTCACAGAGCTTTCGCCCTGTACAATTGAATCCGGCATATATAGTGGACCCTGCAAGCAGGAATAAAACACACGGTATAAAATGGACCTTGTTAGCATGTCTGTATTCTGAACGGGTTCTTTTTGTATCAACACTTCACCGTCACCGACGATATTCACAGGGACTTCGTCAAAACTGTCTTTGCCCCGGACGGTTGTACGTACAATGGTGCAAGCACACTATCTATATAATGGCCCTTGTAAGTTTTCTTCCCTTACATGACGGTACACCGACACACACATGATGAACCTTGTACGTATGTATACTATACACTCAGGCTTGTTCTTTTGCATGACAGCATATACCCATTACCGACCACGATTGCGAGGCGCTGATCCGTGAGTGCCTGGGGCGGTTGTATGTGACTACCTGCATGACCAACGCTGTCGCACTGGCCAGTGTCAAAGACGCCTTTAAAACCATCCCCACCTATTGTAAGCTACTGCACCTATTCAAAATCGATAGATCATTTAGAGATCGTCGGTTGTGCTTGTTCATCTGCATACATACATCAGAACAGCTTTGGCAGAGTCTGCCGTTCTACCACTGCGAGCAGATTGCGATATATAT